TATTCATCGATTATTTATCTTGTGAAATGAATGAATAAAAAAATTCAACCGATTGTAGAATTTAATCGTTAAATAATTTAAAACAAAACGTCTGTCACTTTTTGTAATTAAATTCTGATAATTGCAGAATAAAAATATAAAAACTGAAATATTCATGATTATTATTAAAAAAGTGGTAATCCAAAAATTCTAGAAAACCTTAAAAAATGAGAAGATATTAACAATAACTCCTGAATCTCACCAGCTGACTGAATAAACGAGCGCCAGTCCCTTTCACCGATTTTTCCATCATCCATTTGTTATTCATGAAATTTCTAAATGTCACAATCGAAAAAGGTTTTCACGAGTGAATTCAACTGTACCCTAACAAGAATAACTCTCACTCCGGATATCGATCGATATCGATGATTGAATAATTAACAGAGTAAAAAATAATAATAAATAATCAAAAAGGGATCGGTTTGGACTATAAAAATGAGGTCAAGACCTTCAGAGTCTGGAGAGTCCCAATAATCTGGAGTGGCTTTCTTGATCGATTTGAGATTTACAAAAAAATCGGGAAAAATAAGAGAAAATGAAAAATTATAATGACGTGTTTTATCCTTGTGGACGACAACGGCGTCTCATCTCTTGCTGGGGCTTTCACTTGCACGAAGAATGCGAAGGCTGTCGAGGACGAAGGCACCAGTTTCGCACAACAGCCACAAACCGCCTTTAGACTGGCTATTCCGCCACACCTCTCGTTTCCCATCTCTCTCCAAAGTGCAACAAACCTCGACTAAATTCAATATTCATCTAATCCAATCCGAAAGAAACAAGACACCACTCGAGTGATTATTTATGCCAATCGAATTCACTCAATCGATTTCCCACATTTTCGCCGAGTACATAAAATTATTCGCTCTGAATTCTTTCCATCAAAATTCATCAATCATCTCCAATCTAATAAATAAAAAACGAGAAAATCCACAGGTAAAAATCATTCAGCAAAATAAATTATTTATTCATTGTTATTAAATAGTAATATTAATTTCCTATAATTGAATTGAATTTCAACGCAAATTAAGTCATTGAATAACGACGACAAACTGCGAGAAAAAAATCGTAACAATTCGATTTCTTCGATAAAAAATGGGAAAATGGAGGTGCGAAGTGAATTTCCTTGGGTATGAATGAATAAATAAATAAAAATAAATGTAAATTGAAAGACAGCCTCAAGAAATGAAGAATAATAACCTGCGAGAAAAATAGTAGCGCATGGTATAGACCGAGGCATTCATCCGGATTTGGCGGAATTTCCATTGGAGGGCTTTCACTCGAGTCTTCCATGCATGTGGTGAACATAAAGGCGATGATAAGTTCCCGAAGCAAAAGCCGAGTTTCTCGATGCCCCAAGAGAACACGATTCTCGTTTTATAAATTCACCGTCATTTAATCCACCCATAAAAAAAAAAATGCTGAAGACAACAACATTGAAATGAAAATTTAATTATCCCGATAACTGTTAAAATAATCTATTCCTAGGGGATAGGCTGTAGAAAAAGGATTAACCGTTGGAGACATGATTTGTCGCTGATTTGATCAGTAAATTCATAAAATAACAGAGACGGTATGAGACCCTTTAACAGCCATCCACCAGTATCTCTTTCCAGTCTCACCATATACACATCTATACACATATATACACATATATACACATATATACACATATATACACATATATACACATATATATACACATATATAGATGTATATGCAGGTATATACATTTCCACAGAGATTTCAACGAGTTGGAGAAACTGGTTATATCCCAGGCGCGTAGGTCGACTTGTACTTTTTCAATAAAAAAGAACAACAAGCCCACGATAAACTTACATCTCTTTACCACCTCTGAAATACCATTGACAATCGGTAGTAGCCTCACGAATTAACTATTCACCAAATAACCGTTATCCCATTATGAAAATTGACATACCAACGGAATGACAGCTGCAGGATTGTCCCGTTCCTTCACTCCAACACGCTCCAATTAAATATCACATACGCTTCATACACCGAATTACTCCCAATCAGTCCATAATCCCTTATCCCACCCAATCCTCCAATCCTCCAATTCCCCAATCCTCCACTTATCCAATAAATCCTTCAATTTTCAAAAACACTTGTCGCTCTGACTTTCCCGCTACCAGAATTACCGTCAATTCAAATAAACAAGCGGGAAAACAAACACACGATCCACTATTTCAAATGATTACCCGATAATTTTCACTTTGTTATCAATTTTAGTCACTCCCAATAACGATTTATGATTTTTTTTAATCGGGATTGTCCGATTGATCGGTGGATACCGACCAGCCGTTACCGTGGAACAGCCTTTGAGTGAGAGTTCCACCGAAATGTTCTCCAGGTTGCTGTGCGATTGCGCATGCGCGGTGATTTGAAGATATTCCCCACTACCGATTGGTTTTGAACGGCGGGGGGATAAATAAAAATTGAAGAAAAAAAGAAAAACCGTCACCAGGACTAGTTCTTCCGCCCCCTGCACCCCTACCTCCCCCCCTGCACCCC